AGGTTTTTACATTGGACCATGTTGTTCAGTTTAAGGTAGCACAATACAAAGATTTTTTCACCCCCAATCAGACAATTTTAAACTGATGTAATTTCGTTCATTCAGCTTTAAATTTTATAACTGAGGTACCAAAAGAAAGAAGAAAGATTATTCTTTCAAATGGTGAAAACGGCAATTTGACATAATTAAAACATAATTAATTATTATGTAATTAGTTGCTATATTGAGATGTCCACACTTGAATGAAAATAGCTTCTTTGTTATTCATAGCATCCCAAAATATTTTATATATTCTTGTATAACACAGTTTGACCTCCAAAAGGGTGTCTCAGATTTTTCCTATTGTATTTCATTCTCTCATTAACCTTCAATGAAGTTTGAAACCTAAATTCATAAGAGATTACTAAATTTAATAAAATTTGTTCTATTGATGTTTTTGGAAATCTGAGACACACTTTTGAAGATAACTGGTCAAGGAACAACATGTGTGAAAATCAGACATACAGGGGCACCCATCTAGGAGCTAAATTCATTTAAAACTACATTTTCATGACAAAAATGAATGTGTCACAATTGAATAAATAAGGATTGTCCTACTTGTACTCCATTAACTTCAATATAATTCACACATGTACCATTAGGATATTTCAGGATTGGCCTTCAATCATAAATCAATTAAGTTTTGACCAGTAAGAAAGCATTCAATTTCAGCAATTCTAAATATATAGAGAAAATGCACACCCTATGCATCAAAAACCAGATCTGGCGGGAGATGTTATATCATTATTGACCTTGTTGTAAGTCAGTTGCTACTGATATGGTAAAAACTCCGCCTACCATGATAAACCTCTACTACTAATGATCTCAGAAGTTTAATTACACATTGCATTTACTTTTTTCAATATGGATTTTATTCATTTAGTACATAACATAATATATTTTGTTTTTTTATTGTTACAAAAAGTAAGTTATGCATGTGTACACAAAATGATCAATTGGTCAGTTGAGGGGATCCTTATGGGGGATTTTTAGAAATGTAATTGTATACAAGGACAATATGGTGTTTACACAAAGTAGATTTTGTTCAATTTTGCTGTTTGAAAATGAAATATTTAATTTGTATTTTCTATTAAAAAGAATTCACATCTAAACATTCTCCCCCAAGAAATTCCAGTACATTAATTGTTATACAATTACATTTGTTTAATTTCTGTACATTTATATTTTGATTCCCTCTATATCTCCAAATTGTTACTTTGTTTTTTTTTCTCCTGGCAGCTCCATTAATGAAATGTATTTTTATTTGGAATTCATTATCTTCATTTTTCCATTAATCCCTAATCCACCTCTTTTTCGTAACTGTTATTTGTATTGCTGGTCAGTGGTCATAAAGCTATCAAATGATTCTATTGATTAACCACAAAGTACTGCCCACAAGTTCTTATCTTGTATCAGTCAGACACGTGCATTTGTTTATAAAACTAATTATCATCAAAACTCATTTACATTTCAAGATATGTAAATGAATTTTTCTTCTGTGGTTTTAAATATAAAGAAGTAACAAAAACAGCTGAAAATGAAATTTTGATAAAATTTAGTTGCTTTTGTATTATGCTACCTTAATATACACTTGTTGAACCAATGGTTGAATTTAGGTTATTGATTATTCCCAGGTTTACTTTCTGTGGTTAATACGAACCCATGGTTACCCTTTGTTAAATTATTCAGTTAAAATCGATTCTGACCTCGTTTGAAATCTAAAGAAAGGAAATTGAATACTGTTTTTTGAAGGTATGAAATTGATTATATAAATTGCAAATACACATATTTTACGCTAACAAGAGAATCTGATCAACACCACATTTTTATCACTACTTTTGTTTATATAAATTATCTACACAAGGTAAGCTTGTTACATTTTTCCAAAAAAAAAAACAATTGTCTCTTTCATTCTTATTGTTTTAGGTGAACAAAATAATCAATGATTGATTAACACCACATTGAGAAATAACTTACACTTCCACTTTTCCACACGAACAAGTATATCAAGCCGTAACATGCGTAAGATACCTACAATTTTGAAAAGATTTCAGACATAAAAGGAAACTACATATAATCCTTGCATTTGTAAACAAAAAACTGAATTAAATCATATATACACAATAAATTGCCTTATTCGGTTGATATCAATCTCTGTTCATGCATTTAAAAACGCGTGTTCAACCGAAAAGTCGAAATTGACTCGGTTGGCAATGCTGGACTCCATGCCAGCATTCTAACAGAATACCACTAAGGCGATCAATAGAAAGGAATAATGGGCATGTTTTACTTAGTTGGGAACAAATAAATGTTTTAACACTTTAATGTAAACGTAAATTGTAATACTTGATAAGAAGATAACAATTGTATTCTTTAGACAATTAAGAAAACGCATCCATCGTCATTTGTGTTTCATAATATTTTAATATTCAGATGTATTTAAAATCCTTCATGCGATTCTTTCTAAACCTTTATCAAAAAAGAGTCAAGGTTGTGTCTTATATATTTTCCCATTTCTTAAATACAGTGTTTATTTAAATCCTTCAGGTAAACATAACTTATGTAGCAATTTGAAAAAAGTTTATCTGACAATACGATCGCTGCTTTGTCTCCTTTTGTGTACTTGATATCGCACATAACTTTATTTTTTCATATGAAGATTCAAGGTGAGTGCATTTTGCATTTTGAAAAAAGACATTTGACAAATTATTGATTTTTAAAAACTCACTTGGTGACTTTGTTGCCAGAATTTGTTTACAAACTATGGTAGCTAGGGGAAATAACATTATATTCAATTGTAAATTAATATCTATAGAAATATCGTATTGCTTTGTTTGTTATTTAATTAAGTTATGTTAAAACACTTTACGGACAAGCTCGAACATGAGAGAGAGAAAGACCATGTTTACCCTTTTTCCTTTTTAGCCAATTGATCTGCAGTTGGTCTATTGTTCTAATGACAGATTTTGTTTAAAATCCAATCACCTAGCCTTAACTATAGATAACTACTAATATAATATAACTTTTAACTTGCGATGTTCTATCCTCGCATTACACAATTTGCATATGAAGGGTTCGAATTACGAGTATTTCCATTGCAAATCGTTCGTCTTAAGTCTATAAGATTGAGAATGGAAACAGGGAATGTGTACGAGAGACAACAACCCGACCGAAAAGGAGAAAACTGCCGAAGGCCACCAATGAGTCTTAAACAAAGGCTGGCTTCAGCTGGTCCCTGACAAAAATGTATACTAGTTCAGTGAAAATGGACGTCACACTAGATTCCGTAATAAATAAATGAACCAAAAAAAAAAAAACACAACATATACGACTTATAGAGACCAGAGTTGCCTGACTTGGGAAAAGTGCAAAAATTCAGCAGGGTGAAACATGTTTTTTTATATATCTAAAACCTCACATATACCTCTAGCCATATTAATTGCCCTGATTTTGTCTATACGAAATGTTTAACAACTATGATTGAATTTACATTCTCAACAATTGCAGAATCAACATGTTACAGATGTTTAGAATTTAAAGTAACTGTTATATTTAACCATTTTTCAAGTGAGATCGGTGCATTTGATTACAAAAATAAACTATATATTATCTTAGAATAAAATGTATTGCTGTCAATTAAATCATCCAACATAAATTACAAAATGTAAAAAGTTTTAAAATATCAGATTGGTTTGATTTTTAGGTAAAATATATTTCTCAATATTTGTATTTTTTACGAGAAATAAATCGATGCAGTATAATGCTCTACTCTGCCAAACTAGACATTAGAACAACAAATAATGCTGATGATTTACAACATATTTTGTAACAGTTCAGATTGAACTTGATAAAAAGAGGATATGGGGATTTTGAAATCGAACAGTACATAAATGAGGTAGATCTGATTTAATCAGAAAAAATGCCAAAAAAAAAAAACACACACACAAAAGAAATTCCTTTAGTATTGGCAAAGAAATTCAATCCATGCATTCGCAAATTAAAACAATGCATAAGTAAACATAGGGATCTACTAAAACAGGATGCGGTTTGCAAAGAAATATTTTCAAGCAAACCAATAATAGCTTATAAAAGGCATATACATATAGCCGATCTATTGACATCGACAACATTACAAAAAATAATAGACGAATCGCTGATGATGGCGGGCCTATAATGCTTAAACCCATTCATAAATGTAATACATTTATCATTAGCATGTAATACAAAAACACGCTGAAACACTAAATTAGTGTCAGATTGATGTTAAGCAATTGCAAGTCTAGTAAAACTAGCATCATTAGATCATTATTTTGTAATATAATTACAATAAAATACTTATAGTATGTAAACGGAGTCTTCCGAAAAAGATTTCTTTGCTATCGGAATTCGGAGTGATCTTGGAATGCGTGGATGTTAGGTGTCACTTTTATACAAATATATTTATAGTATATACTAATTATCAAAATCATGTTTAAAAAAAAGATAAGATTTATCGGTTCTTCCAACTGTTATTTGATGACTTGTTTTCAGAATATTGAACATTACTCTCTTTATAACGAATGTGGTGAATAAAAAATAAAAAACCTCAAACAACCAAAGTACGTTGTCAAGCGTCTTTACCAATGCTTGTCTGAGAAAGAGACGATATGACGACGTTACCGCATTCTAACAATGATATGATTTAAAAATCGTTAAAATATTGTAGATATTGTACTATCGAAACGCTGTCTCACCTTCGACAAAAATATCGGTTCACCAAGTGATAATCAACCAACAAGGAGATGACAATCATCCGTCTGCATTTTATTTCAATTTTCAGATGGATAGTTTGACAAAACAATCGGAGGACCAATTATGCAGCAAATTCACAGTAGATGTTATTCCTGCAATAGATGTCGATTCAGACAGAAAGACATTGCGTTCAACTTTTAAAACCATCAATTCTATTCTACGACATGGCGAGAGTCATATTAAAGCAGAATGTGCGGAAAGGATAACGTTGAGCGCAGTTATTAACGACCCGAAGCAAGCAACGATATACGAAAAAGCCATAATTAAAACTAAAGTATTAGGTAAGTATTCGTCAGTCGTGATATATTGATATATTTATGTTTCAAGACTATTGTGTTTATGGTAAGGGTAATAGTTGCATAGCAACGTATTATACCAACAAATGTTCATGACAACACTATTATATAAATTATTGTTCTAAATTGATCAGAAACGAAGAAGACGTAAAATAGAAGATAATTTACCTTCTTTACATCTGAATAAGTTGTCTATGGAAAAATCGTTATTGTAAGACTGTTGATACCAAAATGAAGTTATTTTCAAAGTAAATTGGTCGTCGTTGTTTGAAGTCTGCCATCATTGTTTTCGTATAATGTTATTAGCTGATATGATACCATTAGTTTTCTCACCAATTTGTTTCACATTGTGTAATTTTTTATTTTACGATAGAGGTTTTGGCCATTGTTGAAGGTCATATGGTGATATGCAGTTGTTTCAATCTGTGTCTTTCTGGTGGGTAATCTCAAGGAAATGATACTGGAATACATAACTTTTATATTGCATTAATATTTGTAGATACAATGCTATACCTTATGAAATATGAAGATTACAACGACTTAATATTCAAAAATGATGACACCTATAGACTAAATATCAATATGGCACAATGCATGTGGCAATTAAGCCATTATTACGCTGCTTTAGGAGAGGTATGTTTATCAAATAGTAATTGCGAAAGAAAGGCGATTGTTTGTGCATGTTGTTCATTTATCTGTTTATTGTTGAGATTTTTTCATTCGTAAAATATTAAAAATGAATAAAAGAAAACAACGAAATAAAAAAAAAAATAAATAAAAAAAACAAAAGCAATGTTTTCGATGTCTCTTCTTACAGAAATTAATGAAATTATTTCACAAACGTTTGAAGTGTAAGTAAAATCGCTCTCGGTAATGCAAAGAAGACACTGACTGATAACAGGTTTTAGCTCGAGTATAATTTGCATTTTGAATGTGTGCGAGGAGTTTGAACCCTTACCGCAGTGACGTGATCTTGTGCGGAACATAGATCAATTCATGTTAATTGCCATATTTTTTAGAATTCGACATTTTGTATACTTAATTATACTTTCGTTTTCTATTGTATATATTCCATCCTTCAAGCTTTCTTCTTTTAAAAGTCTTGTGTTTGCAACTGTAATTGTCGCTCTTCAATATACTTGCAGGTTATTGCAAAGGCCGGTGGTATTTCATATTTTACAGACATTTGTAGATTTAAACCCTTTCTGGACAATTTGGAAAACCCGGTAAGAACAAACTCATTTATAATGCAATCGTTCTGTTTGAGCAGTCAAAATTTGATTGACTGTAGATGTTCATGTGATATACAGTCACTGAGTATATATTGTCTTAAGCCGTGCGCACCACTGTCACATATGTACATGTGTGACCGCAATTGATCTACGTACACACCGTCCGACATAACTTAAGTTGTTGAACAAACATATTTTTCATGTTCGTATTTGTTGATAAAACTATTGAGTTATTACGTTTGTTGCATATTGTTGCATATTGTTGATATTTCAGTTTCGAATAAGCTGATTGTTTTTATCACCGCACTTATGTCAACGACATAATACAACTAGGCCAGATAAAATACATTTTACGGAATGAACTTTTAAGAGGAGTTTTAAAAATAGAAAAAAACCCACACTAATTAAGTAAACCAATTATATAGATTGAGATACAAAAACATTCAAAATATATTGACCTAATATAAAAACGATATAAGCATATTTCACCGACCTATATTACTTTGACAATAAACGAATAAATAACTTTACCCCATACAAGAATGCGTATATAAATTTAATAATATTTTGTTATTATAGCTTTTTATGCACCTCATTGTTATGCTATTGCTAGATGTTAATCAGGATATGACACAGACTGAACTGTAACTGTTGTATCCTTTATCTCAAGTTCGATGGGATAGATGCGTTCAACATAGTCACCAAATTTGTAAATATTTTGTGAGAGAACATCATCTATATAGTGAAGTTACAAATCGGAAAAAGGCGCTTATTTATAGAGTTTAATGGACCGAAATACCTCACGGCTGAAAATCCATATGAAGATAGAGTAAACAATATACTTTCATTTTAGCCCTGTCGTAGAGTTTTCCCATGGTGCAGCTTTTTGTAAAATCGCGTTAAAGTGTGACTTTCGGATTTTTTTCTTTTTCATTTTCAAACACGGGAACGCTTATAATAAATTCCCGAATGACGATATCATAAAAATTGGTATCAGATGAGAGAGTGGTGTATCAGCTTTAATTTGACATCAAACTTTCATATCACATGAACATAAAAATTGAGTGAATTGGACGATTTTCAAATGCATGTTACATTTTTTTCAATCTTACCGTCTGTCAAAGTATATTACATTTCTTATATATATCACCAATAGTAAGTTTTCACAAAAAAAAAATGGAACAACCATTACTTAAGAAGTTTTGATATATAAAAGTTTGATAAAACATACAAATCAACTTTTACAAGCCTTTTTATGATACTCATCACATAGCAGTATTACTATTCAATTTTCATCTCAATAAGTCACGTAACGCTCCCTTTTCCTATTTTCCCCTGTCATATGAAATGCTGTGTTTTTCACAATGAATTTAATATGCATTTTCTTAAGTTTTATAAATAGGAATATAGATTTGTATCAATAGTTGAGTCTATGTGCTTGAATAAGTATAGATGCTAAGATTTATCCACTATTAAAAGACTAATTTTAAACCACATTGGAACACATCCGAAAAATCACTGAAAATTATTGGCAGTGCTAATTCTATTAAATAAGAACGAGTAAAGTTGCTTAGGTTGTGTTATTAAGCCTTTACATGTACAAGAAGAAAATATTTTGATGCATTTGAATAAGGGAAAAAAAACAATGCGTGTGTTAATGAATCAACTTTCGTTAAAACACGCTCCACAGCATTACCATGACTGGTAAAAATGTCTATTCCTGAGACAAAAGTCATACAACAAGCTAAGCAATTACGGCATGTCGAGGTATTTGAGCGTGCCGATACTGTTTTAAGTGACGCAAGTAATCAGGCATGTCATCCAGTTGTGAGTTATCTTTTCACAAATAACATCAAGGACAATCAGCTTCAACATTCAGCATGCATTGTTAATTACTTGATGAAATTAAAAATAATTTGCAGGATATAAGAACTATTCTGCCGCCTCTGGTTGCCAATGAACGAACAGATATTTAAAAGTTATTCCATGGGTAGCATCATATTAAAATCAGGACAATTATGTTTTATTTCTAATAAGGTCTTTTCCTCAGATGTCAAACATGATGAATTGGGATTTCAGACTGGAGGCGTTTCTTCAACCAAAGCCACAAGACCTTTTTTTACTTATTCACGACATATGCAACTTTTTAAAAGTTATTGGACCCTGATGTCTGGCACACCAACTGCAGCTCGCTCTCTTACGGGATTCGACACTTCTTCTCTAATCGAAATTAGCAAAAGAAGACAATTACAAGGGGTCGGAAAAAACCATGCATATAATGGTTTACTTTTATAAATTTTTACTTGGATGGAGAGTTGTCTCATTGGCACTCATACCACATTTTCTTATATCTATGTATAAAAATTTGTCAATCTAGCTGGTTTTTATTTTGACACATCTGTTGCAGTGAAAATCAATTCACCGCGGATCAAAATGACCCCAGAAGCTATGGTCAATCAGTACTTGGTGATCTTAATAAACTCATGAGTATTGTCGGCGCCATACTATTAGTTACATAGTGTGTTACTGACCTAATACGCTATATACGGGGTCAGTAAATTCCATATGGGGTGAGAGCGAGCTCGAACCCCATATAGAATTTACTGACCCCGTATATATCGTATTAGGTCACTAGCACACTATGTAACGAATTTATCTTACCGACTATTTATTTGTTGAATTTAGACTAGAGTTGTCTCATTTGCAATCATACCACATCTTCTTATTTTTATATTGAAGTGTTCAAGTGTACAATTTTAAGAACCTACTTCTATCGGTCTGCACAGAAAAACTAATTTCAACAATAACAATTTAATATCAACAACCCTTATAAACCAAAATTAAACAGAACTTTCAATACATTTGAATAATTAAATAGTTCTAAAGTCGTAACTCCACTACTAACGTGTATTGAAATAAGCCCCGCCTTGAGCTCCCTACTAACCTAATATGGAATATACACGGTCTCCACGCGGACGCTTTTAACCAATCATATTCCTAGAAATGTATAGGAGGTAAGATAAAATGACATCCACTTCTTTTGAAGTGTAATATCTCTGTGAATCGTTTTTGTTTGTAGTTCACACACATATATATATATATATGGCTTTCAAGTCTGCTATATGTTCCATTGTTTATAGATATAAGAAGGTGTGGTATGAGTGCCAATGAGACAACTCTCCATCCAGGTCATAATTTGTAAAAGTAAACCATATAGGTCAAAGAACGATCTTCAACACGGAGCCTTGGCTCAAACCGAACAGTAAGTTATGAAGGGCCCTAAAAATGACTAGTGTAAAACCATTCAAACGGGAAAACCATTGCAACGGTCTAATCTATTATAAAAAAAAACTAGAATCGAGAAACGTTTATGAACCACATCAACAAACGACAAAAAAGGGGGACACATCTTGCTATTGCTGTAGTACTGATTTATTTATTAACATAAAAACAAACTTCACATACTAAAGTGTCATGAACATGAAGACTAATTTTTATAGTTCTAACATCCTTTTAAGTTTTAATAATCAGCCAAGAATTTCATCATTTTTTTCATTACATCATTGACCGGGTGTTTACTTTACAGTTCTTATTTCTCCTCTGTTCTTTATGGCATTTTAACAAAACTTTACCAAAAATATTTTTATATGTGGCCATATATTATTGCATAGCTAAGTCTTAATTATGAATATTTTTTTGTCGATAATTTCAGTAGATAAAGATATTTTTTTCATTTTCTTACATGTTGCAAACGAGGGTATGTATCACTAATCTCTGGCAATCAAACATAAATATGACTAGCTTCATTCGTGGAGCATTCCTAGAGCATGCTTCCAATTTACTTTATTTGTCACCGTACTAATATAGCGGAAAGTGAAGTTAAATGATACTGTGAACTTCTGTTTATTTTTCCTAAGAAGTTCCCGTTTGAAGCCAGCCTCAAATGAATGAGGGAACAAGTCGATAAACAGAAGAGTACAGTTGGTTTCCATGGAAACGCCGATTGTTTGATGAAAAACACGTCATCAAAACGTTTCAAATTTGTTGTCAATCATGAGATAAGCATCTTGATAATGTCAGTTTTAAAGAATTTCTGTTTGAATCACAGTGATTTTTGACCCACAAAGTAGGATTTATCCCTCCTTAAGACAAGGTACTTGTATCTGCGTTTGATTATTCTTTCTTGTGAAACCAAGCAGGACCAACACTTTCAATTTGTCTTTCAGTTTGGAATGAGGAATACTATTGTAAAGTGTAAAAAAGTCAAATGGTTTAATGCTATTGCAAGATGAAAAATCTTATCTCACATGTACTCTAAACGATCTTTGGATATTTGAGTTTCCACATCGGATTCACACCACCACTAGAATATGTAGTTCCACAATAACTTCGATTGCTGATAAAATTGATGTTAACAATTTAGAAATCGCTTTCGTTGAGCACTTTGAAGACCCAGCAATATAACGTTGTTTGTTGGGACACTTGTGTAGTTTAGGTATCCAGTACAGCAAGGAAGATTCAGTTTATCATCTTTAGCTGAAATTTCACAGGAACCTAGAACAGTCCTTTGATAATCCTGGATTTCTTCTTTGGTAATTGCCGTTAGAATATATGTTGAATTTCCAAACGAATTGTCGATGACTAATTTATTTATCAAGTAGTTTATGTAATGTAATTTACACACACAAACGATGTCGTTTTGGGCTTTATCTGCGGGGACAACAACATATTTGTCCTGTTGGATCTTTGAAAAAGACTAATGTAGTATAGATATTCCTAGACCCACTCCGTTTCTCAATTCTGATTTGTATCAACGACTTCACAACTTAATCAATTCAGTAGGAGTACCTACGTCTTCTTTCTCGCCTTTAACCCATTGTCTGGCATACGTCTGAATCAATCAGTATAGTGAAGTTGGGTTTAAAATTGATTGATTAAGGCTAACGATAGTTCCGGCCTTGGATAAAATGAGAAGTGTTATTGACAATGTTAAGGTCTCCAGTAATAACGCGGCCAGCCGGATTATATACGAATGGGGAACTAGCATAGGTTCAATCAGGAGATTTAGACTTTTGACCCTGCAACACATGTTTGTAATTGAAAATGTAAGTTGCAATTGTTTGGTATAGGTTTGAGAAAAGATAGGTTAGAATGATATTTGAAATAAAGATGTATTTTCGAAGAACCTGATTTATGATGAAGGATATTGCCTAAGTTGATGGCATCGTCACTTTCTTTTTTGCAATGGAAAGTTAAAAAAAGGATCTTTTCTCCATTTCATCTTTTTCAATGCGATTGCTTCAAAATAATGCATAAGGGACGATGGAGAACTGTATAAAAATATATATGTATTAATTCTGTATTAAATGAACAAGATTAATTAAGATAATTTTGTAGAAGAGCTATATCTATTGATATCTAATTCATATTGTTATAAATTTTGAGGAAGAACTTAAAAAGATTCATACGTTTTTCGTATCAAATCTGGTACTAGTATTTATCAAAAGTTTTCTATGATTTTGCAGCATATTTACAATCTTATTGAGGCAATTGTAGCTACAATACATAACATAGCTCGCTTGGTTCCAGTTTCGCAGCTTGTTAGTGAGAGTAAGACGGCTGAGGTATTATAATGTATTAAAAGAAATAGATATTCAAAAATCTGGCATAATTCATCCAAGAATGGAACAATAAAACTGCCAATAGTGAGAAAACCGTGTTGAATTAAACAGCTAAGAATGATGAAAGTAATATACTTAAGAAAAACCAAGTTTAGTTGTGCTATCTTTTCTTCCATTATCTCTTCAGATTTCCTCTATAATGTGGCTTTTTTTCTACCAGTAAAACACCATAGTATACATACAGGCAACAGTAGTATACCGCTGTTCGAAAGTCATAAATCGATTGAGAGAAAATAAATTCGGGTTACATACTAAAACTGAGGTAAACACATCAACTATAAGAGGAAAACAACGAAACAACAGAAACACTGAAGTGCAACAAAAAACCAATACGACAATGCAACACACACATAAACGAACTATAAGATAACAACTGCCATTTTCCTGACATGGTACAGGACATTTTAAGAAAAAATGGTGGGTTGAACCTGGTTTTGCGGCTAGCCAATACAATATGAAAACAATCACAAAACAATCTTACATATTTTTAATGACTTTGACATACTGAAAAATAATCACTGCCATTAAGGTTGCAGTGATATAGATAAGTATTCCGTTTTAATATTATTATAGGAGAATCTTCTATATGAACTAAATTTTGAAGAAAAAGCATATTCACATGAAGAAAACAGATATTAAACGCGCTAACAATCACATGCTATTTTATGTAACGTTATGGTAAAATGGCTGATATGCCATTTGTTTTGGTAAAATAATTGTCCTTGAGTGCTTTGTTTTATTTCGGACTTTGGAATGAAACAATTAAGTTGCATCACAACACAACGACAAATGTGGCTGTTCGTACACCCAAACATTTATTCTGAATACAGACAAACCTGTGCAGTTGGAACAGTTTTGAGGCCGAACTTCTACTAGTTACATATGTATATAAGTTGAATGTATTTTGTATTTCACAGCGAGAAAATCTTTTTTGAATTTTGATAGGCATTTGTTTCCTGCGAAAGGTGTTTGAATAAACTGAGTTGGTCTAATTTTCTTTTTTGCCCCTCTTAGGTAACCATTGTATTATACTGTGGATTCATTATTATTCGTTGGATACCAATTGTCGTTGGTTTCGTTGGTACAGGTGAACCACGATTTCAAATGTTCAACATGTTCAACGAATTACAAACTATCTATATATAGATTGGCAAAACAACGAACTCAAATATCAACAAAAATGCAAGATTTTCTCACTCCCTGAAAACTGATACCCACGAAAATAAAGGTATCCACAGTATTGTACTTATTGATATTGACAATAAAAGGACAATAGACACGTATAAGTCATTAGAATACTCATCGGGTGTAATTGAGTGAACAGTATCAAATGTAAATCATGTTTTTATGAAAATAAGGAGATGTCGTATGAGTGCCAATGAGACAACTATACACCAAAGTGCAAATGAATATATGTAAGCAATTATAGACAACTTTACGGCTTTCAACAATGGGAGAAAACCCATACCATACAGTCGGCTATAAAAGGCCCCGACATGAAAAATATTAATCTATTCAATTGAAAAAAACTAACGGTCTAATTTATAATTATACAATTAACGATAAACAAATATTATAATCAACCAACAACAACAACTGAACTACAGGCTCCTCACTTTGGACAGACACATAAGAAATGGGGCGGGGTGAAACCTGATTTTGAACGCTCATCCCTTTGTCTAACCTGGGATAGTGGTGATACAGCAATTCGTAAGAACAAATTATAAAAATCAGATGAAAAAGGCTTATCAGATCGATTCAAACTAGAAAACCATCAAATAAACATAAGTAATCCTATCATCATCAGCAGTTATCAAAACAAATGTGCATTAAGATTTTATCTTTCTGAAAATAAAAATGCATTTAACTTCAATATATCTAATGGATGTGGTCTTTCAACTTATCCTGCTGTAAGTTTTTACTTTTCGAGTAAACACATCCATTTTTGTCAATTTGTCATGATGAATCTTAATTTCTTCTGTTTCGTTAAATATTTAGCTACGTTCAATTGGTTAACCTTTGTCAAAATTGAAAACAAAAATAATAATTATCAAACTGCTTTTTATTTGGGATGTTTAAATACGCAGCCTCTGTTGTAATTAGTTGAATATATCGTCATCAAATTTGAAATTTGAGTATTATACTAGCTCAAATAAGTCGGTGCTGTTAATTATGAATGTCTTTTGTACGCAGTCTTTGTTGTTTTATCTTAACTTTCGTCACTTGTGAAATTTTCGAAATGTAACAGTTCATATCGCACATTACTATTTTTGTTAGAAGCATATCTATGCAGTATCCTAACGTCAGTTTTTGAAATTTTAGAATTGTACAAGCGTTGCTGTGTTCGGTTTTAATTGTACAACTTTCAAGATTGTTATAGTTAAATCAGAATAGATTGGTATGATTCAATTTACATCTAATCATACTGACGAAGGATATCTGTTATCCGAAATATTCACATTTATTGTTTCCTTTTTTTAATATTGGTGCTGTTCTGTACACTTTTTTGGCGTTTATATTATTTATTTATTGTCTACATGTATCGTAACTCGTAACGATCCAGCGCCTTCGTTAGAAAGATCGTTGACTTAAATAAAGACGTTATATATAAACATAACTTTATGATAATGTTGACACCATTTGAAGCGTTTTAAAGAAAAATTATTTGAAATGGTTAATTCTATCTTTTTTTTGCGATATGTCAAGGCAATGGTACCTCTATTTAGTTGCAAGAAAGAAAAATTACGCATCGCAGCCACACTAGCAGCAGCTGAGACTTGTGATGACAGTGAAATCGATATGCTAGTTGATGCCGAAGGAGTTATTTCGTCTATACTCAAATATCTGAATGAGTCAACACAATGCTACAATTATTATTATACATTAACTGAACTGTTGGGTGGTATCGATAAGTTAGCCTGCGCTGATTCAAATAAGAAGAAGGTAAATTTTCTATTTAAAATATAAGATACCACGTTTGCATGTTGTGTCGACTATTCTATCATTTGTTTATGTGTTTCTCTGTGATGAGTGTTCTCCCGTAAATTTGTACTATATATCTGTCACGTAGTGTTGCCATTTTAGCGATATTTGTTAACATTGCCATATAAACGGGAGATTTGGCTAGCCATAACACCAGGTTGAACCCACCATTGTTTCTTAAAATGTCCTGTACCAAGTCAGATATTTTTCAATTGTTATCAAATAGTTTGTTTTTATGTATGTTGGCGTTTGTTTTTGTTGCATTTTAGTGTTCCTGTTGTTCCTTTGTTTTTCTCTAATTATAGATATGTTTCCCTCTGTTTTAGTTTGTAATCCGTATTTTTTTTTCTGTCAACTGATTTTTGACTTCTAAACAGCGGTATACTACTGTTGCCTTTAATTATCAATGAAAAGGAAAAATAAAAAAAAATACATTAAAACGATTGGAAAATATGTATTTTTAGAAAACAATGATAATTCTAAACTTTTAACATATAAACTCCAATAAGAATAATTAAATGCTTAGCAATTGTAATTTCGTGGTCAAAGAATTTTTGGTTTTGTACCTTCGAGAGCTATAACAGTCTTGGTCTGCAAATTCCATACCAAAATGCCTTGTCTACATTGCTTGTATCTTTGATATGAGACAAGCAATACTGAACTACCAAGGGATCATATATTTATTCTTTCGAGGAATCTCCGTGCACGCTCGGAGGATGCTCGGAGCTTTTTACGTAGGTTCTTCGCAGAAGTATATGTGGCAATAGTTATAATGATCCGTTAAGATGTTAATCAAATCTATAGCACTTCTATAGAAAGGAAAGTAAAGCATTTTAGAGGTAGCTCAATTTACACCTGATTTAACATCCGGTATATATATATTCAAATACATTTTGCATGTTGTTTTACAAAACTATGGAATAGAAAGTAAAATTCGTTAAAATATTTTCTTATAATTTTTAACAATCATTCTTTTTTAACATTGAAAAATTTCTCAAATAACAATCAGATTGTATAATTTAAATATAGTTTATACTATGACATGCAACATAAAAGTCATCAAGACACACAGAACAGTGAGGGGGCGATACTAAACAAGTTATTTTTTTTTCTTATATGTTTTTTTGTTTTTAAAAAGAATATTTAATAACTAAATAGTTATTTCAATGTCAATAGAAGCATGGACTAAATGTATTTTTTGAGAATTTTTACATCATTTTATTAAATAAAATTAGGTATTCATCAAATTGGAGATGAGTATAGAGATATAACATGTATAAGGTTACTTTATAAATAAGGACAACAATATTACCTTTATAAATTATTTTATACATCTTTAAAAAATGAGTACTTACAATTATTTAAAGAACATATGAAATTGTTTTAGATTACAAATTATAAATAACTTCAAGCCTTAATTATATCACAAGGTTCAATCTATTTAATTACGTCTATATTTAAGATTAGACAGGAAAATTATATTTTAATAGTCCCAAAGGACCAATATTTGACCCAGAAGCGAGGCAATTAGTGTTTCAGGAGGATTAGTTTTATATTCATGGGAATATGCTAAAGCTAGTAAAACCTGTATTAATGGACACCTATAATAATAATATTAACAAAAGTTACTTATACATGATATAAAAGTAACATATGAAATAACCTGGTTTTCAACATAACTTGTATAGGTAGGTAATTTTGAAAATAACTTGTTTAAGTAATGCCCCTAACTAAACAATTGTAATATGTTTTTTTTATAAGATAGCAAACCCAGTTCTTCTATAGAAATTATTAGTACTAATGGAAAAGTTGTAATTCTTATTGGAAGGCTGGTTTGAGGGGGTAATATCACCATTGTTTTTTCCCTATAACGTCTCTGTTTAATGGACTTTTTGAAAATTGTACAGAATTTCTAATGTTTTTTCTTTATTTCTTCTAACATGTTTTTGACAATCAATCAATCGATTAGAGGATGGAGTTTCGCTCTCAAAGTATTATAGTAACAACAACTTAATATTTATGTGATGAACTTTATTAAGCTGTTGTAATTTATCATCATTATTAAAAAAGTAAAACTAAAACTAAGATTCAATGACCATGATGATCTCAATTTCCAATGCTTATATATAAAATTCAAGTGCAGCACCTTCATCTTTTTAATATCTGATGAGGTCATGTGTAGATGTAAAAATTAAAATCAGAATATTTACCATTAACATCATCATTTCTGTACTTGAGGGTTTGTCAAAAATTTACAGACTCATTTTTTGTTTTAAACATATGTTTTTAAGCTATATTATCTGTCCCCTAATCAGTGGTGGATGACAGATTTATATCTCAACTTAACCATTTTATAATTTAGAAAATATATGAAATTTTCCCTCTATGCAAGACTGTGTCTAGCATTTTTAGTGTTGTTTAATATTCAGCGTATACAGCCAAGAAAAATATGATCACACAATTTCAAAAAGTAAATATTGATAAAAGTGTCTCTGTATTCTTTCATATAATACTGTTTAGAAATCTGTGTAGAAGCAAAAGGTTATTATCAAAGGTTTATATCACAGCATGATAATTATATAATCATAATAGTTTGCGGGAATAACCCATTTTAAAGTTTCAGTAGGGATAGTTATCTTAGAGCATCCTCTTTTATGTTCCATATGAAGTATGTTGTTAATATTAAGATGCTGTTTGCTGTTAAATAAAAAACATCTTCAACAATTATAATTGATTCCAATTAAAAAACAATTATCAGATCACATCAAAAGGATGTTGGGCTTATCATCTGCACCACTTAGGAAACACCATAATTCAAATTAAACATTGATCCCCAATGTGTTTAAAAGAAGACTCACAAAGAATGCTTATAAGAGCATACAATATACGAACGCAACATATAAAAATATACGAGTCAGGAATAGTGAAAATAGGCGATATTTGAACGAACAACCAGACATATATGATACCAAACAAGGACAAAAGTGTGCATACATGTATATAAAACAAATGTTCGGACAAATAGTAACGCGTGTCTACCAACAAATAACAAGACAATGGACAACCTTAAGCAGAATAACATCAATGTGTACTGACAAAGGACGAAAATGTATTACAGAACAAAAAAAGATATTTAGGTGTATCGACAAACAACAGAGAGGTGTACAGACATACTGCGATAATTATGTCCTGGAAACTAATTTCCACCTTCCGTTTGCAACAAACAACGAGAGCAGTGTACTGCTGCTGGCAAACATCAGAACTAGTGTGCTAAAAGGATCAAAATGTTAAGAAAAAGATGTTTTAAAATAAGGAGATAAGTGTAGTGAACAACAACAATGTATTTGTACCGACAATCAACATGTACAGGTAAAAACAACCAGTTTTAGCTTGTATAGCAGGTGTACATGGCTAGTACAATCTTTTTGTTTTACAAACTACACAACTATCCTGTCTATTAGCATTTTTACTACTCATCGTAAATGGTACAGCATGCATCCGGCATGTACTTTAATTTTTTGCATGATGACTTATTTATTAAGCCATGTTTGAGTTTGGATATTTCATTTTTTTTTCTTAACCTGTTTTCATAAGGTTAGATACTACGAGTTTCTCTGTTAGCTTGCATAGGATGCAAGTAAAAGAGACAGTAGTTTCTTCTTGTAGATTGGTCATACAAATGTGTGTTTTCCGTCTGTTGATGTTTGTTTAAGAGTCTTTGATTTATAGAACATGGAAGATACTGTTGAAACTAGTGCAGGATAACGTTCGTGCAGTATTCTAGAGGTTAGTTGGTCTGCTTGCTTTGTTATGATTGAGTTCTTTATTCAGATGATTTACGCCATTTACAATACTGATTATGGGTGTAGTTCTTCCTTTTGAAATTTGAAATTCTTATTTCTTGCATTTTTCTAATTTCATTGTCGTTAGTAGACATTGACACGGAATTGATAGTTTACTTGTTTTCCCTGTCAACTGTATCATTTTATGTAACTGCATTTTGTTTTCAAGTTTGTACTCTGGCTGTTTCTTTCCTTTATTCATTTTACAAAAGAGTAAACTATCGTTTAGTTTGATGTGTCGCCAGCTGTTACTATGTATGATACATTATTAAATTAGTATTTTTAACTAATTATTTCAGGTTTGTGTATACCGCTTTGATTTTACAATCGGGTCCTGTTATTATATAGTCGGTGTCTTTCTCTCATCATCCTTCTCAGAAATATTCAAGGCTAGCTTGGTAATGTTTGAAAAATTATTATCACAATCATTCCTCAAAGTTTATTCAAAAAGAGGTAGTCCACAAAAACTGACAAAATCAAAGTTAAACAATCAACGGAACAATTGAAAAAAACAACTGAAAAAAGCCGCCATATTACAGACTTGGTACAGGCATTTTCCGAATGAAACTGAAGGTTAAAACTTGTTTTATAACTAGCTAAACCACTCACTTGTATGACAGTTGTTGATAGTTATTTGACAGCATTGGGTGAGTAAATTAAACAGACATACTATGCTCTGCAAAAGATAACACGCATAATGGATTTTTAAATAATTTTAATACAAGTATTTTAAATAGAAATTTTACAATAACTATAAAAGATATTCGCGCAAAACGTGTTTGATTGAGAAGATGACAGGCAATGCCCTCGAGAGTGATGATTATATGTCAATTGATCAAAATTAGAGTTACGTCCGGTTCCGTTGAAGTTATTACCATGTAAGACCACCTCTCGTTACTAAGAATGCTACGCATCCCCTCGGCACGGATGCTATCAATGATCTTTTGTTGTTGAGTGGAATGGGTCGCCATTCCTGTTGCAAGATTTGTCGGAGCTAATCAAAGATCTGCGGTAGGGGTTTACGCTTGCGCACATGTTTGTCCCATATTTGTTCAATATGATTCAAGTCCGGTGATTTGGAAGCCCAAGGTATCAATCACATTGATGTTATTCTGCTTAAGGTAGTCCATTGTAAAGGGCGCTGTGTGATTACCAAGAACCTGTAACAATTCCGTCTTACGGTAATTAGAGATAGCCGCAAACACCATGACACTTCCTTCACCGAAGCTGTCCACTTCTCGTACACACGAGGATATAAAACGTTCATTCATGTGCCAGTAGACACGAGTTCGTCCATCACGTTTTTAAAGCATAAAACGAGAGTCATCACTGAACCAGATTCTACCCGGAATGTCCAGCTCTTCAATCTGTTGCACCATCGGACTATTTCCGTCTGTGTAAAGGCCTAAAAGCAGGTCTAAAAACGGTCTCCAGGATCTAAAGCCGTTGTTGTTGTTGTGGCAGTCGATTGCGGACTGTTTGTGAGCTGATTCCTCTCAATCCTGGTATTCAAACTGCAGTGAATATTGCGGCAACGCTTACGTAGATCAGATACCCTCATGTAGCGATCTTCACTTCACACGATATTTCGAATAGCAGGGTAAAATCTTGGCATGACAGTGTTTTAACGTCGTGATTAATTAAATCTGCAAACTTGGTCCTTATATGCTGAAAAGTATAACAGTTGAGATGACCACACAAATTTTCGGGAAAAACATTATCTAAATTTCGCGGTGAAAAAGGTCAAATTCCTTTTTTAGCAGGTCGTAAATTTCATGTGAAAGAGAGCTAAATCAAACGAACGGGCATTCAAATTTTAAAACTAACCCGCAAAAATTCGAAGATGCAACTGATCGTTACATTTTACCTTGTAAAATATATATTTTACTTTTTGAAGTATTCATCCGAGCTATGCGTTTCTTTTGTTTTGGAACATACAAAGTTTTGATATTTACAATAATTGGGATCCAGTAGCCAAAATTGTGTAAACATATTTGACAAACAACAGATAGGAGTACTAAGAAACGAATAACAATAGTAATCGAAAAAAGAAGACAATTTTAAACTATTTTAACTATAATTTAGTTGTATGACTCTTCGTTGAACTTTTCTAATTATACAAGTAATTGACGGGTCACCAGAACATAAATTAGAAGATATGGTACGTGTGCCATTGAGACAACTCTTCATCAAAGTCACCAGAATGCTCATATTGGAAGCAGGGACAGATGTCGAAGTATATCAATGTTGTTTTAAAAGTTGTTAAAGGTGGAAATATTCAAATACTTTAACAACAAAAAAGATTCATTAAAACAAATGTAGGAAACATGTGCTGATTCCCTCTCGTAAAAAGAAAGCAAACATTGTTTTATTCTAGAAATCTATTCAGGATACATTCTTTGGACACATATCTCTTCTAAATATTTTGATTGAAAATTTGAAAATTTGACGATGAAACAAATGAATGGCAAAACCGACAATGAACACAAAGCATGTTGTGAATTTAACACCTTAACAAATTTAAGACCAAGTCTGACATGTGTCGTTTACGGTGCTATCACCTTGAATACAATCATACCGAATGTAAAATTGTCAATGTTGAAGTCGCACGGATTAAGAAAAAGACTAGGAATTTAACTGTTAACATTATTATATCTCAGATGCAACAGTATTCGACTACTTGTCTCACTAATCTTTATACAAATAATGTAAAAATAAAAACGCTTTTACCAAATGGTTTAGAATTTTCTATAGAGTAGGAACTAGACTAAATATAATTATATTTATCGTACTATGTTGGAACCCTGGTTTGTCCTTAATGTTTTGATAATATATATTAAGTGACAATTTATACAAGAAATATTTCTTTTCGTATCTTTTGATAAGACATTTTCCAACAATTATAATGCAGTCATATATACGACTAATTAGATAACTAGTCGACAAATGAATTACGTCACAGAGTCAAGTGATGTTTTGTATAGCTATATACATGTCAAAGTGTCCTGACAAACAATGAGATATGCGTATTGACAACCAACAAAACAGGTATACTAACAAACTACAAGAAGACATATGAAATGACAAACAAAGAGACATGAGAATTAATAAACATCATAACAGGGCACTGACATCAAAACAATCTAATAACAAATAATAAGACATGTGTACTGATATATAACGAAGCAAGTACAGACAATCAACGAAACAGATGTACTGACAATGAGCAAGACAGGTGTACTACAAAGCAGCGATACATGCAAACTGACAAATGTACTAAAACAACGACACATGTACTGACACACAACGAGACAGGCAAACTGACAACTAATGAAACAGATGTACCGACAACAACACCAGATGAGCAGACAAGGCAGACAATCAACCTGATTAATGAAAAAAATAAACAAACATGAAGACAGTTGTACTGAAAAACAACAGACAAAATTTATAAATAATTAAAAGATAGGTAAATAAATAAGTAAGGCGACAAGTGTACTGATAACCAAATATACCGATGTTCTGAAAACAACGCAGTTTGTGTACTGACAAGCAATCATACAACATGTTTATTTAAAACAATAGTACAGATGTTCTGACAAAAAATTTGCAATAGCGTCCACAAGGAAATAATTCATATAGATTATGTTATTACCTACACAACAATCATTCAATGATAATCTATATCAACAGTAACTTTACAAAGGAATATGAAATGCTTAACATGCGTAAAGAGGTAAAATATTCTAGTTAGATGAAATGTTTGATGAATGTATTAAACTTTTTTTCAGATATTAGAAGCTGGTGCTTTACCATTATTCGAGGCCATTTTAAACCTCGATAAACCAGAAGTACAAGCCTTGACAGCAAGAGTTTTGTGGACTATGACTTTTGATGATGACGTTGCTACACATGTAAAATCATCAAAAACTTTGTTAGCCAGATTAGAGATGTTATCGAAATCTTCAGACAAAGCAGTAAAAAATAACGTCACGGGACTTTTATACAATATTGAGCGAATATCAAAGAAAGAAAAGAAAGGTATTACACTCATTGATTGTATGTTCTATTCCCAAAGTAGTTAACAAAATGGATAACTTTTTTTGAAAAATGAACAGGTGTCGTATGATTACACAAACTAAGGAAATTCGTATCGTCTAAGGTTATAATGTAATGCAGTAAGGATATTGTATGCCTTAAAGAATAATCAAATAGCAATTAACTCGAAGGGATAATAATATGAACAATTATTGCATGTACTAAGCGAACAATGGTCAACATTAACTAAACCAATACCGTATCCAAAACGCTCTATTTATAATTTTTCTATTTTTTTTAACCAGTTACATTGATCATTGATTTTTGTTAAAAGAGATAAAGATATATAAAGAACGAGTGATACTGGTAGTTTTGAGTCTCGTATACTAGAAGCATGTATGCATTAAAAGATCAAAACAGTCAAGTCTTTTTGAAATAAAGTTTTCCGGTAAGCATAATAAGAGTTTACTACAAATACAATATAATTTTTGTCCTGGTACGTCGTTGGTGCCTTTTATAGCAGATCAATATATAAGTCTTTACAATCATAAAATAACAAGTTCGTGTTTGTTATTCAGATAAATACATTAGGAAAAAAAAAAAAGATTTTGATTCGTGAATAAATGTTTCTGGAATTTTCGATACAAATATACGAAAAGAATGATTTTAAAAATGTATAAAAAACAAGACATGATAAAATTTCTAAACAGTTTACACTAACTGTATATCATGTTTACGTAAAAATATCCGGTTATAGGAATTACAAAACGTAAAACATAACTCCAGAAAACGAAAATAAGGTCCTAATAATTTAGAGCACAAAAGGAGAAAACTGCATTTACTGAAATGTAATAAAAAAGATATATCATGCTATTACCAAAAATTTGTTTAACTTTAAATCTCTATCCATATCTTTTGTTGCATCTCGATATCTTACTTTCACTCTAGATGCCTTTATATGTGTTAGAATAGTTTCCATTTTCCTTAAGGACGACTTAACATGTTATAAACTAAATTATCCATGTTATATCTATTGATCAATCAAGTCGATGGATGTCATTCAACCTGCACTGCTCAGGTGACCATTTTTGACCTTAAAGACACAGAAGTTCGGATCAATGAGTCACTCCAACCGTGAAGATTAAATTGTATATAACGATTTGATTGGTTCCTAACTATTTAAACACATGACGTCATCAATTTACATGAACGTTTAGAAATATTCGGATGATATCCAATTAACGACAATTAAGTGGTAAAAGTTTGGTAACTTTTAAATGATAACTTTTTTAATAGTTAGGCTTTCTACTATATTGTTACAGTGTTTAGTGAATTGTGTTTTAATGGCAGATATTTGTTTTCTTTTAAATGTTTAAGTCGGCAAGATAAAAAAAACAATACAACATCAGCTCTCAGTGAGCTTTTCAATAGACATACACGATTTAAACGCTGGCGTATTGTTAAGACATTTATCTTCTGTTGAACACTATATATTACCCTCTAGATGTGCTCAGGTGGTTGTTGCCGTTTGATTGCAGTCTTATTGGCGTGTAACCCACATTTACTACAGTTGTTTTTAAATCTGTGTTTGACAGATGTTATTAAATTTACAGTGCAAAGTAAACAAATCAAGAAACGTTCTAGATTTCAATCTTTAACTCCCCCTATAATTTTTCATATATTCTAAAAACATGTCCGATCTAAACAAAGTAGGATTGATCTCCCACTAATTAGTTTTTTTTTTTTCTGTTTTGACATATACTTATAATATAAACCTTATGAAATTCCACCCCAAAATAGGCACTAAAAGGAATTAAAGTTTAAGAAGTTGTAATATATTTCATTGAGAATAAAACTAATCCAAATCAGGTTTCAGCTAAATTGATATCTACAGAAATTACAAAACAAAAATATCTTATTTGACTTTGAAGCACTGATTTAAGATTAAGATTGTACACGCTAAAACAAATTTTAAGAATGAGAAACACTTTTTTTCATAATTGGAAACACAAAGCGTATACAAATTTGTAAATTGATCAGACATACTGTAATTAGATATATAAAGATGGATGGGGTATGCGTGTCAATGAGACAACTCCCCATAAAGTAAAAATTAGTAAAAAGTAAACCGTTATTAGTCAAAGTACGGCCTTCAACATGGAGCATTGGTTCACCGAACAAGAAGCATTAAAGGGCTCCAGAAATGACTATTGTCAAACCAATCAAACAGAAAAACCATTAGTTTAATCTATATTATGAAATGAGAAATGAGAAACACTTATGAACCTCATCAACAAACCACAACCACTAAACAACAGGCTGCTGACGTAGGACAGGTGCACACAAATGCATCGGGCTTAAACGTTTCAACAGGCGCAAACATTCACCCTTACCTGAAGTTAAGGTATAACATTACAATATAAATAGACACACTGCAAAATATCAATTGCAATGGCTAAACTCAATCAAAAACACATATTAACAAAAACAAAAACGAATAAATTTAATCTTTGACACAAGATTATTACAATTTTTTTTTAAAAAGGGAGGGATGTTTAAAACAATATAGAAAGACGACTATAATCTTGGACAAAATAGCGTTAAGTAAAATAACGTACATCGGTACATATAACAATTTTGTTGTTAGGAGACATGGAGTACGGAAAATTTATTTTACAAAGTAAATACATTTATTGTTCATAGTACATGTAGTATGAGAAAAGAATTGAAAATTTATCATGATACTAAATATCAAAGGTGGTACATATTAAAAATTGCGAGACATGGTACAACACAAAGTAAGTAAACATTGAATAACAAAAATGCAGTACAAATTAGGGAAATTAGTCAACTGATCAAATTTATAGCCTAGTTCATGGCGGGTTCAAAAGAAGGCGAGGAGGGAGTACGTACACCTTTGATTGGAATAAAAAATTATGTTTAGTCCTAAAATCTTCAAACTTTTTCTTATGGAATAACGCCCCTATGCCTTTGAAAAATTCTAGATCAGCACAAAAAGATAAGATAATATTTGACCTGTGCAGTATACCCCAGATAGTTAATGCATACCTTAGCTGTGTATTAACCAGTTTAAAGCACATTTTGAACAAACAGATTTTGCATATGTCATGTGTTAACAATAAATGAAAAATAGAAAAAAAAACGTATCTAAGTAATAATCCACAATGCATTCCTCCATAAAAACGGTACCTTACGCTACAAATTAAATGTTTTGGGATATAATTCTCCATATTTTGTAAAAAGTAATCCCGAAATTAAAATATGCTCCACCGCAGCAGAAGTGATCAGTATCCTGGAGTTTCTTATTTGCAACACATTTATTGCATTTTCCAGCAGGTTGTCTGCATTCCTATGATCGACCTTTTCTTAATTTAAAATGAGTCGGAGTTTCCATCAGATATTTGTAAAAACAAGACGACCAAAGAAGCTAAATTGTTTAATTTCACATACATATATATATATTGATGATGTTCATTCCATTAACTGTCAAAACCTTTCTAACTGGGTCCCATTTATACATTCTACTGAACTAGAGGTTAAAGAGTAATTTATATCGAATTTTTAACATTGGAAATTCCTTGTACAGTTAAGTCCTAAAGTGCGAATCGGACAAAAATTGTTTTTACAGTGTTATTTCTATTATCTTTACCCTTGCAGTAGGATATCCAGTGAACAAAAACAAAAGAAAGTTCACTCGTCTTATGATAGAATCAATAAAGTCAACAATAAAACAATGACGGTGGCGATACTGATCAAAAGATATTTCTAAATAATAATTGTTCATTTAAAAAAAATGTTTGTTTAACTGTGTTATTAGATATACACATGCAAATACACGATGTTTTATGTTCTGTATTTATCGAGATAAATTGCATTAGAAGCTTGTGAAACTGAAATACCAATCTTTGCTGCATACTGAAAAAAAACCTGGAAAAAATCATGTACATACAAAATCTAAAGATCTTTGCGGTAACTAATTTTCAGAGTGTTCCACAAAATCTTTAACATGCATGTTTAACCTGTAACAATTTCCCAAAGTAAGCTTATTTTTTCACATCTAAGTTATCGAGCAAATCGGTCTGCTCCTTTAACATGTACGTTCAATAGAGAAATATTGTCTTTTCGTGGATAACAAAAATCTGTCTGTGCAGGTGAAGATATTAAAGATAACTATTTTTTAAAGTAGGTATCTTTTTACTTTTTTATAAACGATTTAAAAAAAAGGTCGTCTCGATTTTTGTACATGTATTTGCGTTGTTTTTTTTTTTTATCTTTTCGCATTAAATGTTTACATCGAGATAAAGTCCGTTTGAATTTGCTAAGTAATTTGATTTAAAAAATGTCAATCTTTTCTGCATATCAATCGATTTCACGGGATATTTTTCCATGACTTTCTCTAATCTAGCTGTATTTAAATGTTTTCAGCCATGTATCACTTTTACTTGTGATCCAATGGATTGATCCGTCTTCGTAGAGTTTTCACATGTATAGACATACATATCAACATAATTATTTCTGTGACTGTATCTTACGATCCTTTTCGATAGATTTTTAGATATTTTGCAATCAATTCCATATAAATGCCTAATATGTACTGTAGTGTTTTACAACTCTAGATTCTACCAACATGAAGGGTAAAACTAGGCCACCGAAAGCTGGATTATACCTCAGTCTAGGTGACCGAGTGGTCTAGAGGGTTGGACACAGTGCAGGCAGTGTTGTGTTGATATCCCAATAAGATGAGTTCGAATCCCTGCAGGGAAGAACAAAAAATAAGATGTTTGCTAGGATGAATAAATTCTTTAAAACTGTAAGAGTCCTGTAGGGAAGCCTAAATTACAGGAAACAAGTGATGATAGGAAAATGAGTGATGGTAGGATAAATGAATCGCTCATTCTATGTTTTTTTTTTCATCAATATATATATACGGATGATTAGCATGTTCCAGAAAGGTATAGAGCCAATTGAAAAAAAATTGAAGTTGGTACTCCAGGAATTTATTCGCATAGCAATTTTTAAACCAGTATTACATCAAGATTCTATATCCTGTTGTTCTCTTTGCTTGCTACTTAAGGAGAGAAATGATAACATTGAATTGAAGTTTTGTTTTTATTTAAACATATTTCTATTTTGCTTATTTACTAGAACGTGTTCCCGTGTATCCATGATTGATAGCGTCCTTGCTAAAATGGGACAAACATTGAGAACACCTAGTTTTTAGTGTTTACAGGGGAGGTACTATTTTGTCACTAGATTTCCCACTGCTTGTATTCATATTAACTTAATTTTTACTTTAACGAGTAAGTGTATATACTATATTTGGTATGTTCTATCAACGACAAAATTGCTCTCGCCAAATTTAAAAACTACAACATCTATTTTCTTGGCAGTCCTATCTAAATATTTTGTATGTCAGTTGTATCGTATGTCTGTGCATGTGGAGTATGTTTATACAATTTTGCCTGCTTGATCCAAATGATTGTCACATTAACTCGAATGTCTTTTTCTACGGAAAATGCAAGTACCAAGTTAGGAACACAAATGTGTATCATTTTTACTTTGAACTCCGTGTGTAGTATTTGCTCGACTTTAGGTTTCCAAATGCAATTCCACTGCAAATCTATATGCTTTACAGTTATCGATAATATGGACACTGAAATGTAACAGGGTATCACTTAATTCTATCTATATAAAAAAAAATATTTCCTAGAATGTGCATGCGTTAGTTTGTTCTTATGTTGTGTTGTTGCACCACTGTTCAAGGCTTTGGAAAGGAATGTGCATCCGCATACATGTGCAACCCTACAGCTTTCTAATTGTGCAGGTTCCCGATAGGGAGCCTGTAAATTGAGCGGTTGTCGTTTGTTCCTTTGTGTGTTTGTTGTAGCATTTTTGTTCTTCATTTATTGTTTTATTAATGAAAGAGACCGTCCTTTTTCTCGTTTGAATTGTTTCACATTTATTATTTCTCTCGCAATTGAAAGCTTGATATGTGCTTTTTTTATTGTTGTTGAAGGTAGGACGTTTGACATACATGTGCTTACTTCTACATAGTTGCTCTTGGGTTTAAGAGTTGTCTCATTGGTAGTGCATCATATCATTCTAATGACATGAACATGGTTTATTTCTGTTACAGATATTACAAATAAACCAACACAACAAAAAGGCAAGCACTTATTTATAAGCTATTCGTGGCATGAAAAAGAGATTGTTCTAAAACTGAAAGGCCTATTACAGGTATACTTCTATTCAATCACTCAAAACAGTTATTAATTGAATATGTTTTACTTAATATGTACTATGTATACACATCAACGTAAGCTTATATGTATTTATTACTTGCGAAAATACGTAGATATAGTGTAACTTATACCAAGATCATGTACCATGATCCGAAGTTAAGCTTCAATCGTAATTAAAAAGACATGTTTTGTCGAAATTACAAGTCCAGTAACTTTGATACCGTTCACGTCAATGTAATTACTACTACTTGGTCGATACCGCTGCTTGTAGACTCTTCACTCCGAGTTTATCGTCATTCCTTTTGTTCTACCAAGGAATAAAAAATATTGTTTTTATTGATATCAACTGTTTTAAATTTGACATCTCTTACATAAAGAGATGTATCTCCTTCTGGCACGGCTCTGTCATTTTTCTGGGTTTGGTCATAGCTTTTTCCTGCTATGTTTTATCGGCTCTTCTACGTTTTTATGAGGGATTGGCGCTTTATTTATTGTGACCGTGAGTATCACCGAAGATACCTTGGATTTTGAAATGCACATCTGCTTCAGTACATTTGGTACCGTGAATGTGATAACATTTTAAAAGAATTAGACATATTTTTCTCCTTGCAAAATTTGAGTGATAACCTATAAAAGTATGAACGTGAGCTTTTTTTTTTTTAACTTTTCATGGTAAAGAACTGTTTCAGTCAGTATTTTAACCGACTCGAAATGAAGATCACGTGTACAAGACATTTGCAGTTTCTGTTTAAATTATTTGGTTTCAGAAACACTCGTGATAAATTATAAGTGTCTAATGTGACTATATGACAGTAGCAATCCTATCTGATTTTTACATTATCACGAACCCGCATCCATTAAAACTGAATTCAAGTAAATATTCAATATGTTTGCCTTCTAAACAATCATATACCGTTTACAAGACCTAAATTCATAATCTTATTTTGACTATTTGAGAAATATGTGCAATTTGTTAAGCAATCGAATATTATCTTTGCTGACTAAAAGGCAACTAGAGAGTTTTTTTCTAAGGTGAGTTGATGTTTCATTTCCAGGAATAATTATAGTTAAATGTTATCTGAATGGTCTTGTTCTAGGAAAAGGGGATACAAATATGGATAGATACAGAAAAAATGAGAGGGTCAACTTTAGAAGCCATGGCACATGCTGTAGAGAATGCCGCACTTGTACTTATTTGTATGTCAGAGAGTTATAAACGAAGCCCCAATTGTCGCTTAGGTAGGTGCATTAACCATTCCAAAGTGTAATGAGCATCGGACAGTTATGAACATATTCTGAAATGTCGATTATAGGAAGGTGTATAAATAATTTGATATGTAATCTATCTTAGATAGTTATAAACATATCGTAATCTATGTATTACTGATAAATTATTAAGGCAGGGATTTCGTTACCACAAATTACTTTAAATCTTTACTAAATTCTTTCATAGACATGCAAAACAATTCCTAATTCTAAAAGGTAACCAAGTCAATTCTTTAATTAGATCATTGAATATTTTTTTTTATTAGTTTAGATATTAATTATGTTATCAGTAGATTAAATTCAAACTATATATTATTTTCTGTCGATACATATATCTTGGCATTGCACAATTTTATGTTTTCTCTGACTGTTAATGACGTCTTTACACTAAATACGTTGGATTTTGGATGTGTACTGATTGATAATTTAGTCTTAGATGCATGATTTTTTTTATTAGTTGCTATTGACTTAGAAATAGATGTCAGTAACCGCAAGTACTCTCAGATTTGTAAATCAGGTCTTTTTGTTGAATGGATGTAAAAGTACTTTGTCACGTCCACTCTGTGATTTTATTAGATGTATTTCTATTTTTTTTTATCTGATGAGTAAAGCCTTTTTCAACTGAATTCTATAGTTAGTTTTGTTACATTGTGCTGTTACACCACTGCCCCAGGTTATGGCTGGGTTTGTGCCTTTAAACCTAGTTAACACCGCCACATATTTAAGAATCCAGTCCCTAGTCAGGAGCCTGTAATTCAGACGTTGTCGTTTGTTGCTGTGTTACATATTGTTTTTCGTTCATCGTTTTGTGCATAAATTAGACCGTTAGCTTTCTCGTTTGAATTATTGTATATTTTGTCATTTCGGGGCCTTTTGTAGCTGAATATGCATTTGCTCATTGTTGAAGGACGCACGGTAACCTATTGTTGATAAGTCTTCTGTCATGTGGTCATGTGAAGAGTTTTCCCATTGGTAACCATACTACATCCTCTTATTTTCATAGTTTAAGCTGTTTTGATAAGTGAAGTTTATAAATCACTGCAAAGGTATATTTAAGCTAAATAGATATACAAATAGCTCTTACTTTCGCTAAGGTATGTAAAAAGCACATAACAAAATGTAATCAAGACCAGATATTCATGCACATAGTCCTTACTGTCTCTTAGGTACGTATGTAGTCAATTCTAAAGGTTACTCAACGTCATAAAGATATAGATGTAGTCGCTCCTGTCGCGTAAGTAATTACATAGTTCATTTCGTAATTAACGTTGTAGAGATATATACATTGTTCTAACTGTCGATAAGGTAAGTATATAGCACATTCAGAAGAAAAGACAGCAATATATACATATGTACCATAGTTTGTTAGATTTTCCATTGAAAAGGTGTGGGGTATCTACACATGCACCACATTTCCATGTCAGCCCTCTGATTGGTTTGACAGATGCTTGAAAATGGTCATGTGGTGTATGCTAGATACCTCACACTTTTAGCCAGAAACTACAACGTAACACATTTCTTTCCCGGAATATTTTTCAAAAACTAAAGTGTTGGGTAGTTTTCACATTGGTGAATACCCAAACCCTATCCTTAAGCTTTCTTTTTCATATAATAAGTATAACAATGAATTTTAATAACTGTATTTTTTTTTAAATGTGAGACTGAACGCCACATATATAAATCCTCTGATCCTACCAGAAAAGATGCACATAATTCCATAATGCAAACAAATTCTCTATACAAAAAAGGTGTAAATAATTTCATTACTCAAACATTCTTTTGAATAAAAGACGCCAAACTATTCAACAAAATCCACAAATACGGAATTAATCACACATATTCATTGTTATATTATTTTCCATTATTAGAATTGAACATGCATCTAGTCAACAAACTTCCAAAGCCTCCTCCAGCATTATTTGATGGTTCACGATTTTCCGTTTTCGTAATATTAGATAATTTGTAAACGCCTTCTGACTGTTCACCAAACTTTACATGTACGTCCGTAATCTAGAGGTTTTCTGTAGCAGGCTGTCCCATTCAGATAAAGTACAGTATTCAAATACTCATTACTGTTCTTAAATCTTGAAAAGTACAGGGTTTTGAAGGAAGTGTTTTCCGATTTTGGCACTTTAGTTTCCCTGATTTGACCTGAACAAATGAATTATTGCCATTCAGTGACATAAAAATCATACATAGAAAAAACTGATTATTGAAATATAAAACAATTTTATTTAGCCTTGATTGGGTAAAATGTAATAAGCATACACACGACACAGTATACCCGTGTTTACCTTTTTGTTTTCCATAAAAGAAGCACCTGTTGTAGCACGGACCTCGAAGAAGACACCTGAATTTTCTGAAAACTGTCAGTCAAGTGTTGATGACCCAAATACACAAAAGAAAAAATGGAAATACACAATAAAAGCACAAATACTACAAAATTGTAAGAAAAATAAAACTTACCATAGTACGTTTTGTTGGCTCTGCCCTTTATTAAAGTATAGCTTCCCGTCTGATCATTTCTAAGTTCAATCTGGTCCACGGACAGATTCCGATGCTCCACATCTGAGCCCGAAAATTTACTGTTGCAGAAAAAGTTTAAAAAGTCAATGTCAATGACCTATTTTTACAGCCACTTCAGACGACTTAAACCCTCAGATTGATAATGCAGCGGGAAAGGAACTTTTCAGCACGTGCTATCAGTTGTGAACTTTGACACATGTCATTTACCAAATAGAAAAGTGATTGGCTATGTGTAGATACACCATAGGATGGACTTTATTTCACATAAAAGCAAAGCTTTTTCGTGGAATTTAGTCCCTCCTATGGTGTATCTACATATACCCAACACTTTTTAATTTGGTAACTATAACATAGTAGTAACTGTCAACTAGGTACGTACATTGCTCATTCCAAAGTGTAATCAACGTTGGATAGATGTACACATAGTCATCACTGTCGCTAAATTAGTTACATTGCACACAGCGAAGTTCAATCTAGCTATACTTCTGATTTATATACATATAGACTTTACCACTGCATCGAGTGTGATACGATATTCATCAACTCGAGACCGTTAAAAACAATTAATTTCACTGTCAAGAGTGGATACATATCGTATTACAACAGATTTGATGGTGGAATCTGTTTCCCTAATGACTTTAAAACTTATATTTATTCAGGCAAACTTATTCCTTTTTCAAATCATCTGCAAAAAGATGTGTTCTTCCTATGTGACGTCATCAGACATGGTCGCCTTTTTTTCATGTCATCACAATAGGAAATTCCGAGGAAAACAAGAAAATTCGACGTCATAATCGTATTTTGACCAAAAAAGGACTGAGATCAAACAAAATAGAAATAATCAACATGTCAGGAAAAAGACAAATCGTGTAAGAATTAGCAAAATAGTCCTAACTGTCGATAAGGTACGTACATAGCACATAACAAATTGTATTCAAAACTAGATCATTGTTGCGTAGGTACATGTAATATATTTATATATATATATATATATGTATATCTAGTCCTAATTATGAACGTACATGACACTTTGGGAAGTGTAATCAAGACCTGAGAGATATACAAATAGTCCTACATGTATCTGTCGTTTAGGTGCGTACATAACACATTTTCAACGAGAATTAAGAGGTCTGACAGATATATATATATATAGTGTATCCTAAATTGAGGTAAATTATATGGTCTTCCAAATACCGTTTTGATCCCTAACATCACTGAAGAGACACTAATTGTCGAAATCCGGATATGGTGTACTAATCTATGCACCTCATGTTTGTGGTTTAACATCTTTGCCGCAAGTTTATTGTTTTCTATTTAGTATTAGATTAATATTCAGATCCATTCTGTTACGTCTTGTGATCAATTTATTTGGCAATCGTCAATGGCAGTCAGCAGGATTTATTTAAGAACATCAGTTGTTCGACCTGCTAGTCAAATGCGTTTTGTTTAAATATACTTTTTCACTCTTTTGGTCTTTTGGAAAATGTTGTTTGTGCTGTATTTAGACCCCTCTACAACGAAATTTGTTTTACATGCACACGTATAAAAATTGCGGTTTTTATCCTAGGCAATCATAGGTTTGAACGTTGTTTTCAATTAAGACTTGTTTATATATTTTCGTTTTGGCTTGTATTATATTTTCCCTCCGGTTTTTATAATCCGTTCATCCTATTTCGACTCTTTGAATTCAAGAGTCTATTCTAAATTGAGGTAAATTATATGGTCTTCTAAATACTCTTTTGATCTCTAACATCACTGAAGAGACATTAATTGTCGAAATCAGGATATGGTGTACTAATATTTGCACCTCATGTTTGTGGTTTAACATCTTTGCCGCAAGTTTATTGTTTTCTGTTTAGTATTAAATTAATATTCAGATCCATTTTGTTACATCTTGTGATCAATTTATTTTTGCAATCGTCAGTGGCAGTCAGCAGGGTTTAAGAACATCAGCTAGTCAAATGCGTTTTGTTAAAATATACTTTTCCACTCTTTTGGTCTTTTGGAAAATGTTGTTTGTGCTGTATTTAGACCCCTCCTCAACAAAATTTATCTTACATGCACACGTATAAAAGTTGCGGTTTTTATCCAACGCAATCATAGGTTTTGAACGTTGTTTTCAATTTAGACTTGTTTATATATATATATACATATACCGGTCGAAATTTATATATACAGGTCTAAATATAAATATATGAATATATTTCTACAATTAATATTATCACAAGGTGACATACATTTAAAATTGAATAACGCAAAAAGTATTTCTTAGATTATCATTATATATGAGACATAAGCGAAGAAAACAACACGTTCCAAATATCATGCGTCCGTAGAGTTTTTCTGTCTTTTTCTGCTTTTAAAGTAATGAAGAGTGTTAACCATGTATATCAGGAAGAATTACACCATATGGTAAGACCTTCTTTTTATTTACTTTCAGAAGCAGAGAACACATTTAGATGTGGTAAGGAGTATATCCCGCTCATTGTTCAAAAACATTATAAACCGGATAGCTGGTTAGGGGCTCTGTTAGGAGCAAAGCTCTATATAGACTTCAGTGGAAAATACCAATTCGAACCAAAATGGAATGAGCTAGTCAAAGAACTTCAAGCCTTTAAGATGTTAACAGAAGGAGAGGATACAGTTGACTCATCAGAAGGCAAGTAAATTATATTTACCTTGAAATGTACACTAGATATTTCAAAGGAAAAGTTATAAAAAAACGATTTAAAAAATCTATACATAAAAGAGAAAAGTTAAATACCTGAACTTTTGGTATTTGAGATAGTGAGTATGTTAAGGGATTTTTTTTGGTAGAAATTCTTCGGAAACATAATATCTTAATGATGTAAATTGTAAAATGATATACGTCTTTATGTTTTTATATATGCGTCACTGGTGAGTCTTTTGTTGACGAAAAGTGCGTCCGGCGTACACATTTTTATGCCTATTCTTTATTAGGTTTCTTAACTAGCAAGACAAACAACCCACGATTGAAATAGAAATAAAAGGGACTTTTGTATTTGTCATAAACGGATATTGTAAAGCAAGAGCATACATTTTTTTGAATTATAAAAGCTAAATTTACCCTTAGAATCCCTTATGTTCCACAAATCATAAAAGGAAGTCCGTATACGACCTTCCATATCAGTTATACAGTTGGAAATATTGATATGTAAGTTTTGATTCAATGTCTATTCCAACTAGTTCCTTATAATCTCATTTGTGCAGAATCCAGGTTGACCTCGTCCTAGATTCTGCAAAATATTTTGCAAGTAATTTCTATTGTTTCAGCTTTTGTGTAATCTTTTTTTATTGTATTCTAAAACAAATGTTTTATATGAATTTAGATTGACCAATCAAAAGTGAGTGTGAGTTTTTCAGTTTATTGCACAACAGTTATTTTTGTTTTGAGACGGTTATTCTTTTAGAACAACGTTTTGTTTTATTTGGCGTGTTCATTTCAAAGGATAGCACACGCTTATTAAAGGTTGCAATTCTGTAAATACAGACAATGCAATTTCCCATAGGAACTCCTTTTGCGGCTAAAACTGTGACACTTTTACTATGAAGTTTCGTGAAAAATGATATCCCAGAACGGAAAGTTTATATGCACTACTATTTTATTCAAAGGTCAAAATATAGGGCTGTGCGGCATATTTTCAACATTTATATGCCCTGAACTTCTAAGAGTTTAAACTTATACTAAAATTCTATACTACCCTTACCTCCATTTTTGGGCCTCCTCAGAATTAAAATTTAGCCGCTACCATGTTTTTCTATACTGGTTACATTCCCAAGTGATGTCTCTATGAGATGAAATTAACACAGAGATCATCAATTGGAACCAGTACGTTAACAAATTAACATACCTATGAATATTAAATATCTCCCCAAAAGAGGCGTGGTTTGAAAAACAGCTGTATTTACAAAGTGCAACCTATAAGCATACAATATTAAAGACTTTTAACACAACAAGAATGAAAAAAATATATAATATGAGAGAAATGTTTAAGTCACTTGTCCCTATTTTTCAAAAAGTTCCAATATTTTCAATTGAACCATATTAATTTTCTGCAATTTTATGATTAATTGTGTTCAGAAAATAAATTTGAAAGGAGGTAAATTTGTTCAATGAAATCATATTTAAATCTCTTACGTGTGTGTTAGTGTCCTTCACTCTATTTAAAAAACTGAATAAATCAATATGAAATTATCGCAACTATATGTTTAACCTTATTCAGTATACTAGTAATCGATTGCACAAATCCTCGAATAAGATGTAATACACTCAAAGAAATAGTAAAAAGTTATTAGTAAAAATTAGACAACTCTATTTCAAGCAAAACAACTTAACTGACAAAAAGGACAAACATCGCAAACACGAGGATACGTTCTACTGCACCAACAAGGCACGATCAACATACCTTTGAATAGGTTGATATGGTATGATTGCCATTAAGACAAGTTTTCAACGAAGTCAAAATGCAGCAAACATATTATCTTTCATTCAAATATTCCTTGATTAACCCATAAGTTTTAATTGTTGTACTACAATAGCTCGATATTGTTGACATATTGTGCTTATTATTTATATTTAATTGAAAAAAGTTTTTTGACCCTTACGGATAAAACTGATATACTTGCCGTATAGGAGTTAACTCATTTTATCATATGTACGTAAAATAAAGTTGAATGGCATAAGAAAAAGAATCGACCGATTAAAATTTAAAAAAGTATGATCTCATTAGGAAAGTGAACATGAATTAATACCCCTTTCTAATAACACATTTATGCTGTTGTGCATCACACAAATTGGAATTGTAATATGCTGTAATGCGCTATATAAATGTATAGGACAGCCTTAAGCAATGTACATGATGTACATTGAGCATTAACGCTACCTCTTCCTTACTATGTGTTAACCATTCCGGATATTGAGTTTCTAGAACAATTCTGGTGTTTGAAAATCTGACGAAGCAAGTTTTAGTTTTACTTCGTGTTATTTGCAGGTGATTTTAATACTCATGTAGGTACCTACTTAGAGTTCCAGTTTTAACACAATCAAATAGAATAATAAAGTTCTATGTTGGAAGTGATTTCATTAAAAAGTAAAATAACAAAAAACCTAACTCCAATGAAAAAATCAGCAAAGCCCATAACACATGGCAAAATCAGAAGCTCAAACAAAACAACTGTCATATTCCTGACATGGTACAGTCATTTTCTTATGTAAAAAATGGTGGATTATACTTGGTTTACAGCTAGTTAAATCTCTCATTTGTATAACAGTCGCATAAAATTTGATAACATTGACAACATTGTGTGAGCAAACCAAACAGAAATAATACGTCAAAATGCAAAAATGTGGATACAGCAATCAACACTATGATATTACCTTAATCACTATAAATAAACAATTTGGTCAACAATGAAATACGAAATGGCATCTAGACATCCTATTGACAAAGCACATGAGCATAAGTGGAAAACTAAAAAATACAAAAAAACGACCATAGCACAATAACATAATAACGAGATGTACAACTACCTAGACACACCAAAAGGATGTTACTAAAAATTGATTAAACAGTAAAGGTTGAAAAAAAGACACTATAAAACGAAAGATAATGAACTAATTCAGTACCTATAATATATACTTCAAGGTTATTTTGTATTATCTAAGTCTTGGTATCTTCGGGTGAACTTTTCTGAAAAAAGGACGAGACGTGCTTTGAAATTAAGTAGCAGATGCGACTGATAAATACCAAAATAAGTTGGGAAATTTTTATCCCATATGTAGGTAGAGTTGGTATAATGCTGCCATCGTTGGAAAAATTCATATAAAAAATAAAATCGTCTCTTTTGTAGAAGATTCTTGTACTGAAATGACCGCTTATGTCAAATTTGAGGTTTAAGTCCAAAAATGAGGCGGAGGAAGCAGAGTCAGTTGTTTTTTTTTATTTCAGTTCTGGAGGGTTTATTGATGCAACTTAATTAAAAATGTTTTGATTGCTAATCGAAAGAACATTATCAATATATCTGAATGTGAAATTATATGATCTGGCTTATTTGATTTTCTTGTTTTTGAAAAGGGTCTGAAGGAACCCTACTATGTCATTATATTGTTTTCTAAGGGAAAGAGTACTTAAATACAACAACAGCGAATCATTGAAACCTGTTATAATTACTTTACTGGAAGCATTCTTATTAGAATTCCTTAAAGTCCATTTCTGCGTCACAAAACACATTTTGAAACTGTATGAACCTAAACCTGTATAAAACTAGCACATTCTTATGACCTTTACGCAGGGTGACATGTCGTTTCCATGAATTTCATTGAGTATCAAAATTACAATGAACCAAACATTGTCATGCCTAATATTCTTGATACAGATATTATATTGTATATTATTGAATTTCTTAAAAACATGTCTTTTCAAAAATAAAGAGGATAAAGAGAGATAATAGAAAAAGCAAATACATTATTTACTACCATTACCGTTAGTGGTCGCTGGTGTACACTGTACACTCCACAATTGCTTAATCTCCCGACAAATAATATCAATATTTGAATATATAATTATAGTTGCACTACCTGAATCAACTTCATCATCAACGATTCCAAAGACATTCACAATTGATGACGTTAAACAATGGCTGATCTCAAAACAATTAGAAAAGTAAGTGATATTTCATAACAGTTATATTTTATAATGGCCATACCTTCTTTAAGTACTGTACAGAGACTTTCAGTTGACCTTCGTTTTAATAATTATGAGGCAAAAACATCCTTAACGTGTGTTACAAAATGTAGAAATATCACTCAATGCTTAATCCACATCAAATTCAACTTGGACCTGAAAAACATACAATAACCTTAAAGTTACATGATTAATTATAAATACAGGTTGGCATACATATAGTTTTAGTTAGACAATATTCAGAGTGCATGTACATACAACAGTTAATATAAGATGTATTAATAAAATACCGACCGTGCTAGGGTTGTTAAGCCAGTCAAAGTCGTTAAACAATTCCATCATCATAAATTTGAAACGCATACTTATGTTTTGTTAGTTTTATTTATATTTATTTTTCTATAGTAAAATATATACTACGTGATAGCAAGCATACAAACAGTTGTGTTTGTGCATTATATTATGATTAAAGTACCAGAGATTATAACTGAATGTATATATTTAAAAGCAAAAAGATATGACGAATTTGCCAAGTTATATAATTAATCTGAAGTGCTGAAATATTTAAATTGTGGTACTATGTTATCATTGTGTAGCCGTAGTCGAACTCTTGTTGTTGTCAATATTGTACACAGATTCTGTTGTAAAACCACCAGGTTTCGCAGGAGGAACCCCATTTTTCAATGTGGATAATTCATAAATGGAATCTTGTAGTACTGTAGACAAATGAATGATTGGACCATACATAAACAACAAACTGTACATTTTGTCATTCAGTACCTCCTTTCCTGTCAAAGGCCTAAATGTGTAGTGTGAAAGAACATAAAGAAATAAAACGGAAGTAACTTTGGAATAACTCGACTGCATCTGAATTTTGGCCAAAATATTAACAATAAATGTTTTTTAATGACTGTTTAAAAAAGACCTTTGCCAAATAATTTCTTTTTGCACTACCTGCATGTTTCAGGTTTTCAAGTACCGTTGTCATACAAACATATTCATGATATTGTTGTGATTGCTTGTTTAATTGCAACACTATAATAATCAGTAAACACAAGAAGCAAGCGCTTGTCGCTGGCCTTTCAAACCTGAGAAAACAGCATTTTTTTTAAATCACTTCTTTTCCAGTTGATCGAAGAGAAAACTGTTCGAGTCGAGAAGTATACGTTCTAGTTCGATCTAGCTTAAATTGGAATAACGCCAATGTCTTTACGTGATATTTCATTGTAGACTAGTGTTCTGCAAAATGGTCCCTTAGTTACCATTTTCAATACTTTATTCATCCTTGATGTTTGGCTGAAGTATATAAATGTGGCCTACGCTTTGTGTTATCGGGCACTTAATTTTACTGAAGGTACGTCAAAACAAAACACATTCTTATGTAGCAACATTCAGGCAGCGCCTGCATACGGAGTAAATAGATCCCAGTTGATATGATACTACACATGGCTTGTATTTCCTTTCATGATTTCCTTGATTGTGTTGCTGCTCACAAGGAGGCTATTAAATTAAGTATTCCAAGTAGATAAGCTGGATGTTCAGTACTACTACCATGCCAAATATGACCAAATATAAGTGGTTTATGTCAATTTTGATATTTTTCTTGTGTGTTTTTTTTTCTATGACTGTCTTTGAACTACAAACACAAGATTTATGTGTTGTTGAAAGGGTTTTTTTTTTATATCTTAGATTAACATGCACTTATATAATAGATCATGTTGTTAGTTTTTCTATCTTACCCTGCATTAACACATCTTTGATTAAGTACTTTGTCAAGATACATGTACAATATGCATTCACAATAAGATAATAGATGAATATGAGAAAGAAAATTAAATAATGAACAGCTCCTTGATTGTTTATCACTTTTTTAGCATTGATGTAGTTTTCCTTACGGAAGAAAGAAATAGTTTAAGTTAATTTTGATTGCAGATTTCGAAATAATGATGCCATGGCAATCGAATTAAAATTCTGCATTTATTAATTTATTAAAGCTTTACATTTTGATTAATCATTAGACTTGATCACCACCACCCCCACCCCCTTTTAGCCAAATTAACACTATTTGTGGGATTTTTTTGATTGATTTTGAACATAAAAAAATTTGATTCGGACGCCACTTACAACTTTTGCCTAGAAGAAGCACGGATCTAATAATCTTAATTATATGCCAAGTATCTTTGATGAGTTCTATTACAGCTCGAGAAGTAATTATTCAAGTGGGAACAATCAAGATTTCGATATTCATAAACGAAAGCATAATTCAAAAATTCAACCCTTGCTGATTTTTAAAAAGTATCAATAAACTCAATTAGCAAAGTATTTTTGTAGTTGTTGTCAACATTTTGGAGACGTAAATGGTAAAGGGCTTTTACAAATGAAGAGTATGCGACATGATGTAAGTAAAGTATAAAAAATAACAAAAATAGCAAAATCAAAAGCTCAAACACATCAAACGATTGAAAACACAACAGTTATATTCCTGACTTGAGTAAAGAATTAACACAAGGTGCTGAATCTGCAATTTCCTCCATCAAGAACGTTGAACGTAAAAAAAAGCAGCATATGAGGTTTTCACAAAAATTGTTTTAACAATTGGTTAACGAATATGGAACATGTTATAGAAAAAATTAGAGATACACGTTCTTTTGAAAGTAATTGACAGTTTATGAATAAGTTGTGTGTCTATTGGTCAACAAAAACTCCTTTGAAAACTCTTATACATATAACTTAACGAAGCACATACGTTCACAATTCTATTTAAAACACTGATTTTTAGTATGTCACAACCGGGTATCCAATGAAGTGAAATTGATATCAAATGTTTCTGTTAGATTGAGGTTGAGTCACTTTTCAATTCAATAATGTGATAATAACACATGTTAACCGTAACTAAACTGAATCTTTGAAGAACGATAAATTTCACACTTTCGACTGAAAAAAGAATAAGAATAGTGTAGAAAATATAGCAATTAACATACACTCGTAGTATTTTCAATACTTTTTTAATTCATCAACTGTAAATTTGAGAATTGAATTAATAACATTCCACCAACAGTATTATCTACCAAGCACTACTGAATATCAATAATGCTTTATAAAGTAGAAAAAAGAAGAGCGAAAGATACCAGAGGGTCAATCAAACTCATAGATCGAAAATATACTGACAACGCCATGGCTAAGAAAGAAAAAGACAAACAGACAAATAATAGTACACAAGACACAACATAGAAAACTAAAGACTAAGCAACACGAACCCCACCAACAAGTGAGAAAGGGTGATATGTTCATTTTGTGGCCCTTGAATTTGAAAATCAAAAAATCTAAAGTATCACAATTATTCCAAATGACCCCTTTCATATTTTCTTAATCATTAATCTGTCTTATAACACTACTTGCTTCTTTTTTTCATTTTGTCTGTAGTTTGGCAAAAGGATATTTCATAAAAATGTGTATGCGTGTAAAATATTTTATTTGTTGTTAGCGATTACTCACACAATTTCTCCTCGGAATTATGTGTGTAATGGCAATATTTGGTCACAAAACGTTAATTCAGTTATGTTTAAGGAGCTGTAGGGACACCATAATTGACCTTTTTCGATTTACTGTCCAGCTCATATCAGCCTGTTCGATAATACATAACATTAACATAATTTTGAATGACTTGAGTATGGTTACTTTTTTGCAATTGCAGTGGTCACATCATGATCTTATCATTCCTCCTCTTTTTGTGCTCCATCAAAAACTAATTTCAACTTTCTAATTGTCAATGTATACACATAATATATGTACCTTTATTTTACAGGCACCAGAGTTTTATTTTAAAACACTTAGCAGAAAGCTCAAACTCAGTCTTGGTGAAATACTAAATTTTTCTGCAGCTCTAGAAGAATTGTAAGACGTGGTGCTTACATTGCTCTACATAACCCCCGAACTTGGTGAAATAACCAACCTTATTGCAGCCCTTCACAAATAAAATGACGGAATGTCTAAAATGATCCAGAACATTCAGCCTTCATGAAGTACATTACTCTAGTTTTGCACCTTTTCAACAAATATAAAAAAATGATTTCAAAAGTGAACCAGAATCAGATCAATTTTTATTTCCAGTTTTTTTTCTGTTTTTCAAAAAATAATAAAAAAAATAATAAAAAATAAACAATTCTGCTTATAATGAATAATTGACTAAATGTGCATTATTTTGTTGTTCAATAGGTTTTATCTCGCTCATATGATTATGGAATATATTATATTTACATTTGCTCACATATATGACCAAAAAGATGATAGCAGCATCGCAATGTGAAATATCCATTTCTACGTAGCAACATTCTTGCAGTACCAGCCATGCATATGGAGTACACATATTCTAGTTGCTACGATATTACAGAGCATTTCATATCATGCATTAAGTGTACTTGATAGAGGCTTGAAGTATAGATTACGGGTACTGACGTTGTTTATCATCTTAATAGCGTGTTAAAGCACTCTTTTATTTGTCTTTATGCATATTACTTTAACTGTGAGTCTGTTTTTGGTGATATCCATTTGACGTGACTCTCTACTTATGCATTCCGTCATTGTGTTATTGTTTTTGTATTCTCGTCTTTCATTTTGCTAATGTGCGTTGTCTATATGCCTATTTGTGGTTCTTTAATACATGTGACGTGGCTCTGTACTTTTACATACTGCATTGTGTTATTGTGCTATGGTAAACATTTTGTATTCTTGGCTTTTAAATTTTTCTAATGTCTTATATCTATATGGCTTTTTGTGCTTCTTTGTTTGTTTTTGTAGTGATTATGTTATTACATAATGTTGACCGCTGTTTCCCTATCTGTGACATTTTTACATATTATATCTGTTTGTTTTGTTCACACATTGTGGTCAATATAATGGAATTCGATGCGACTGTCGTACAAGTGAAAGGGTTTAGCTAGCTATAAAACCAGGTATTATGCACCATTTTCTACATAAGAAAATGCCTGTACCAAGTCAGGAATATGACAGTTGTTATCCATTCGTTTGATGTGTTTGAGCATTTGATTTTGCCATTTGATTAGGGTGGACTTTCCGTTATGAATTTTCCTCAAACTTCAGTATTTTTTTTAATGTACTTTTTATATGATATTGTACTTTTAAAGCAACTTTAAAAATTGCCTTGCTTAACAGTACACTTTTATGCAAGAGTTATCTCCCTGAACATTGTTTTCTTGTTATCGCTTTTCCTTCAAAACTTTAATGGCAACCGGAAAATATGTTGTTTTATCCTAAATTGCTCGTTATACCCTAAGTATATTTAATTTTTAGCGAAGCTATCCAGAGACTCCATATGACAGTTATTTTTCAGAGTGTATTCGACAAACTTTAAATGTAACTGTAACGTGTTAACCGTTATTTATAGACACTAATGGACTTTCGCATTGATTACCTAGATTTGTCCAAATATGAGGTCACAGTCAAGATGTAAATTTTGGATTTTTCCTTGTTATCGCTACACATACGAAACCGTTAAAAGTACTGTAAAAAGAAGGTTTCTTACCATTTATTAGTTGCAAAAAGTAAAATCCCAAAAATACTGAACTCTGAGAAAAATTCAATACGGAAGGTCCCTAATCAAATGGCAAAATCAAATGATAAAACACATCAAACGAATGGACAAAAACTGTCATATTCCTGACTTGGAACAGGCATTTTCAAAGTAGAAAATGGTGGATTAAACATGGTTTTATAGCGCTAAACCTCTTACTTGTATGACAGTCGCATCAAATTCCGTTTAATTTACAACAATGCGTGAACAAAACAGACATAATAGGTAAAATAGTCAAAATATGGGTACAGCAGTCATACCTGTGTCACAATCTTAAAACAAACAAATAATTAACAAAAAAGCACAAAAAGCATCTATCAAATTTAAAAACCACATGCATTGCTTCGCGTGTTTGCAACATTCTGTAACTGAAATAGGTCTAAATAGCACGACAACAACGTGTTATCGTTGTCACTCCAGGAATTTTTAAAACAAGCTATTTGGTGATATAACTCATAAACCATACAAAGAACCAAATTTGGTTGGCAAGCAGGGTCATCGGACACATTTTCAAAACTAGATACCCTAATGATGATTGTGGCCAAGTTTGGTTCAATTTGACTCAGTTGTTTCAGAAGAAGACGTTTGTAAAGATTACAAAAATGTACGAAAAACTGTTAAATTTGACTTTAGAGGGTACTAACTTCTTATGCAGTCAATTGACCATTTTGGTTATTTGACTTATTTTTAGATGTAACTTTGCTGAAAATCTCTATCTATAATAATTTTCAAAATAATAACCAAAAACTGCAAAATTTCCTTAAAATTACTTTTTCAGGGGGAGCAACCCAAAATATTCTTGTCTGATTGGTCTGAAAATTTCAGGACAGATGAATCTGGACCTGATAAACATATTATCCGAATATCAGATTTGCTCTAAAGGCTTAATTTCAGAGATATAAGCAAAAATCTGCATTTTACCTCTATTTTGAGCCATGTCGGCCGTTTTGGTTGGCAAGCGAAGTCATCGGACACATTTTCTAAACTCGATACTCTAGTGATGATTGTGGCCAAGTTTGGTTAAATTTGGCTTAGTTGTTTCAGAGGAGAAGATTTTTGCAAAAGTTTACGGACGACGACGATGACGACGGACGACAGACGAAGGACGCCAAATGATGAGAATAGCTCACTTGGCCCTTTGGGCCAGGTGAGTTAAATAGTAAATAAATTTAACACAACTTCTCTCACGCTATAGATTATCGAATATAAATAAAACAGGAACTCGTTTTAAGAAATTAGATCCTTGCAATTTGATGTCTTTTAAAGTTTTCTGTTGATAGCGTAGACAAACAGGACACTGCATGTTAAAAGCATAATATATCCAATTTCTGTGTTTTCATCAAATGTGTTTTATTTTTATGTGGAATGTGATTACAAAGTGCAAAATGCCGGCTAAATTAAAAAACAAAACAAGAAGATGTGTTATGAGTGCCAATGAAACAACTCTCAATCAAAGTCACAATTTGTAAAAGGAAACATATAAAGGTTAATGTACGGGCCATGTAAATTAAATAAAAATTATTTCAAATGCGTTAATTATGTCCTATCTAAATGTTATCTATTCCCACTCTTTTCCATATATACCCAATAAATTTTTATGCACTTTAAAATGTTAACTTCATCTTTGAAAAATCAGTGGTGTCCCGAAGACACTTCTATATCATATTCATAACATTGTGTATATGAATGGGTTTTTGTTTTGATAAGATACAGATGTCTGTTTTCGGTTTTGTTGTTATTGTATATTATGTCACAGACCTCTCCATTCATTCATGAGTTTGCCTAGAACTAAAACTTAAACCTGTTTCCTCATTTTCAGAGAAAAAGTATTAGTTGACTTCCTTTCGATATTTCATTGATGCTGTCAATTTCCCCTACACTAGTCTTTTTTCAACAAAATCTAAGATAAATTTATTATTTTATTTTAGCCAAACTTCATACAATTTTTACTTCGGAAGCGCCTTTTTCTGGATTTCCCTTAATTAGGTACGTTTGAAAGCCAGGAATTTTTAATACGTAGAAAAAGGTCAAACCTTAATTTCTTGATTTATCCATGGAACGTAGAATTTATAATAAATCATGTAAGTAGAGAAGCACTGACTACTGAGATGATGATATCCGGAGGGAATAACAGTCCACCAGCAGTGGTATCTACCTCATTCTTATAAATGAAATAAAGCACCAAATTTGTTAATTTCGAAGCAGAATCAATAGAACCTCGAAAAAATTGAACGAAAATCCAGTACAATAATCCAAACAAGCTGGTTATTGTCTATGTATAATTATATTATAAGCAATTTTAAAATGGCTTCCGCTGTGAAAGTATATCAATTTGTAGATTAAAACAAATGGATAGTTTTAGCACTATTTTAATCAATATTTATATAAACGGTTTGTTAACCACCTACTTCTTAGCAAATAATGATTGGTGGTGATTAACTAGCATCCTTTATACGTGCAGATGAAATTATTTTATTATCAGAAACTCCAGAAAGGCGTCAAAATGCACTGGTGGAAGGAAATTTGTTCAATAGTATTGTTTGTAAACAAACTAAAAATTTAAAGCAAATGAATTTAACCCAACTTCTCCCACGTTATAGATTAGCAAATATAAACAAAACAGGAACTTGTTTTAAGAATATAGATCCTTGCAATTTGATGTCTTACTGTAACCTCATTTTAAGGTTTCCTGTTTTTTCCCTGAAGATGTGGTAGGTGAGTGCCAATGAGACACCTCTCCATCAAAGTCACAATTTGTTAAAATAAACCTTTGTAAGTCAAAGTACGGCCTATGCAAATTAAAAAAAAAAAAAATCTGTCAAATACCCAAAATTTGTCCTGCATAAAAGTAATCGATTCCATCTCTTACTCATATATAACCAACTAATTACTATGCACTTAAAAAAAATAATTACGTCTTTGAAAGAACAGTGGTGTCTTAAAGACACTTCATATGTCAAATTCAACACATTGTGTATATGAATTGTTTTTTTTATTTTACATTTGATAAAATACAGACGTCTTTTTCGGGTTTGTTGTTATTGTAGGTTATGTCAATTCATTCATGAGTTTGTCTTAAAATAAAACTGAAACCTGTTGTGTCGATCATATCTCGGTTTTCAAAGAAAAATCATCAGTTTACTTCCTTTAGATATTTCCTTGATGCTGTCAATTTCCCCTAAAATAGTATTATTTTTAAACAAATCTAAGAGAAATTTATTATTATACTGTTAGCGACACTTCATACATTTTTAACGTTAGAAGCGCCTTTCTTGATTTCCCTTTATTAGGTACGCTAAAACGAAAACGTGTGAAAGCCGAGGATTTTTTCATACTCGGAAAAAGTTCAAACCTTAATTTTTTGATTTTTAACGAAGTATTTATGATAAATTATGTAATCAAAGAAGCACTGGCAGCTGAGCTGATGATACCCACAGGGACTTACAGTCCACCAGCAGTGGTAACTTACCCGTTCTAGTAAAAGAAATAAAGCCCCACTTTATTAAATTCGTGCTAACATCGAAGCCGAACTAAATGAAACGTAACTTTCATTTTAGTATAATTAGATCAGATGTAGTAGAATTGCCAATAATAATAAATTACGGAGAAAAAGAGTTTTATGAGTCAACAGTTCCAAACTGTTTGGTCAAATGTGGCATATATGCTTCAGAGTAGAAATATTTAAGTGTTTCTACTAATGATCACATTGTATAATCAATAAGTTGCAAAAAATTACAACATCAATGAACCCAATATATTACAAATTAAGTAAAATCCAAAAGCGTTAATCTGGCAATAACATTGTTTTTCTTTCGTTGTACAATGTTGTAAACAGAAAAAATGTCATTAAACTTAAACCGTTAGTGTTTCGCTTATTTATGATA